AACGGCGGCCTCTGCCATCAGTAAATGGCAGTCAACAAGGCGAATATCAGCCAATGCTGATGTTCTGTTGATAAGTCGGTGCAGTAAATACCTGACTGCGCACCACAACACAGCATCAATACTGCAATAAAACTAAGCTAATTACTGTCAGCAGCTCAGTACAGTCCTATTAATGGCTTTGTAAAGTGTGCACTTTGTGCCTCATGTATCTGGTTTTTATCTTTGATTTTTATGCCCTTTTTTTATCACCATATTCTGCATTCCATTACAAGAAACTGCAATTTACTGCCGTGATGAGCCACATTTGCTGTTTTTTGCAAACACAATTATCGACACTCAGGGGTCCAATTTAAAAAATTAAAAAAAAAACAGCTTTTGTGCTGGAAAGTTAACTGAGTTTTGACTAACATGTGCAGATTATAATTGTCTGTAAGCAGCTTAGAATGGCTATGAAAGCATTTGTAGACCAGTAAACAGAACTGTTATCTCTAAATTTGTCTTCCAGTATTAACATCAATTTTTTTATGGAAGTCGAGAATTTGCACTGATAAAATTAGTCAGGTTTAATTGTGCATTTCCTTACTGCGGATGATTTTATCTTGCATCAGATTTTCAAGTAAGCTAGCAAACAAAGAGACTCACTCAACAGTTCAAAAAAAGTAGAATAATTGGAAGGAAACTGTTTCCAAATATCAATATACCTGACAGCTCTTTTGTTATTCTCTTTGCAGCATGATGAAAGGGCAATCCTCTAAATCGCTTTCTAGCTGTTGTTTCAGTGTCGCACATCTGTCACAGTTCGGGGCTTAAAATGGATCAGATCCACGTCTGCTTTGGACTCCAGCCAACGTCACAACAGTATCAATAATAAAAGGAAGTTTTTCTGTTGCAGTCAATAGGAAGAGTAACACAACACATGCATGCGACGCACACACCTGGTCCTCGGTGTGGACCTTGGCTCTCGGTGGACTTTTTTGCTGACAGGAGCGCTTCCTCCCCGACGTTTCAAATCAGCATTTGGCTTTGCAATTAGCATATGTAAGTGCATTAGCATAGCGGCCAGCAGTATGCAGACACTCTGCAAAGCCGTTTGATAATTGAAGTCTGTGTGATGCCACGGTGCTCTGTGCGTTAGGGTTAGTGTGTGTGTGTGCGTGTGTGTGTGTGACAGATGGTTTGGAGGAGACATGAGTCTCTACTGAGCGATACTGGAAGCTACAGAGCAGAAGAAAGAGCTGCAGAGCTGGTTGGGGACTAGTTACATGTGTGCTGTTTTGACTGCCTCTTAAACAGCCTCTTTTACTGCACCAGTATTGGGACAGTTTAGCTTTATTACACCATTCCTGCAAGCGAAGATGCATTGTGAAGCTGCTTACTGTAAAGTTTTCAAAACTACTTAAATTTAAATAATATCCTGAGGTCAGCAAAATTATTGAGCATTTTGATTGCTGTTTGACGAAAAATCTAAAGAAATTATTCTCCCAGCCCCACTTTTGAAGGAAGTTATTGCTAATTTACCTTCAATACTTGATCTA